TACACACACACACACACACACACACACACACACACACCACACACACACACACACACACACACACATACACACACACACATGCACACACACATCACGCTCACGTACACACAATTACACATGTGCAGGGTTGAGGAGGCCAGCAGCAACGACAACGACGACGACGATGATGGCGATGACGATGGAGACGGTGATGGCGTGCCAAAGGTCAAGGGCGGGCTTGGTCGCGAGGTTTGGGACAAGTTCCTGCACATGGATACGGCGGGTGGTGGTGGCGGCGCATGCTCCCTCCAGTAGTGCACGCATCAAGTGCACGCACGAAGTCGCATGAAGTGCATGCATCAAGTGCACGCATACTTCCTCGGCATACCCCTATCCCTACCCCTCCTCCGCCTCTTCCTCTTCCTCTTCCTCCTGTTGCACATTCCTCTCTGTCTCGCCAGCCTTCCTTCTCCCCCTCCACTCCTATTCTACGCTACAACCACCACCACCACCACCACACCCCCACCCACGCACCTCTCACCACCTTTGGTTTTGTCCACAGCGTTGCATTTGAGCCCTCTTGTTCGACAAGTCGGTGGCCCGGCTGTTTTGTGTCCCCGCACACCACAACCACAACTACGCTCGCACCCCCCCCCTCTGTTATGTCTTCTATTTTGCCCCATTGATACGCCTATGATGTCATATCCCGTCGGGTTGCGCACTGCACACGTGTCACAACCCCTCCTTTTCCTTTCCGTTGCTGCTGCTGTGCATGGGTATTATTGTCGTCGTTCGTGTACGTGTCGTTGTAGGCGTCAGTCTTGTTGTTGTTAGTTGTCGTTGTTGTCGTCGTCAGTGTTGGCATTATTGTCGTCAGTGTTGGTATTGTTGTTGTGTTTGCTCTTCACGTGCTTGATCACTTTGCACGTCGTGCTTGTCGCTGTATGTTCCCATCTCTGCCCTGTCTGCTTTGCTTTGTTCAATTGGCTCGTGTATTTTGCCTTTGCTTTGCCTCCCCCCCCCCTTTTGCAGTTGCTCTGCGTGTCCTTCAATCGCACAATTCCACACGAGCGCATTGCACGTGAGCAGCACATGGTGGTGGACAAGAGGAGAGACAAATGATGCAGACACACACGCACGCACACACACACACACACACACACACACACACACACACACACACACACACACACACTACTACACACACACACACACACACTACTCACACACACACACACACACACTA